CGGGAAGTTCCCATGTCCAGTATGCAAGGAAGGTCTGAGGTTCATTTGGTTGCAGAAGGGTGGCAAGTATTCATCGTTCGATAAATATCAGCAATTCCCATATGCGTGTCAAACCAAAAGGTATCTTAAGGGTTGGGATATTGTGAACAGGGTATTGCCACATGGTAAAGTGCCTCCTAAACGATGAAGATTACAACTTAGACCCAAACACATATGACGGAGAGTTCTTTCAAGAAGAGGGACTAGAAGGGAGGTTTGAGATAGACTTAACCGAAGCGATTGGAATGGAAGTAGACAATGAAACGGTTATTGAAGAGGACACTAGAGATAAGGTGCAAAATGTGAAGGACTTACAAATGCTTGAGCGATTACATTTAGACAATGACAATGGCAACATTGCTCATTCGGATAGTGTTGATTATTTCGACATGATTGATACTGATGATGAGACTTATGATCCAGCTAATCCCGATCATGAAGATTATTTCTAATACATGTAATACTATGTTATTTCGTAATTACGTTTTGTTTATTTTGCATCTCTTTCTAAGTACTTCTTGTTTATTTGTGCTTACTGGTTTACTCTTTTTAATTGCAGGTGATTGAACAAAGATGGTGGGTGGTGGGATGAGGAAGCTAGCATCCTTGTACCGAAGGACAAGGACTGCTGCACCGGAGGAGAGTAGGAGGAGGAGCAGCCGCAGGAGGGAGCCGTCGCCTACTGCCCCGTCGTGTGAGGAGGAGGAGGAGGAGGAGCAGGTGCCCTAGGAGGATGCTGAGGAGGCACAGGAGGATGCGCAGGAGGACGACGAGGAGGAGGCGACAGTAGGGGGTTTCGCTTCCTCTAGTTCATCGAGCGTCTACTTGCGAGGTCCCGTGAGCCTCCCTCAGCGACCGATACCTCGTGAGAGACGCCTGCTGATTCGACCCAAGGGGGAAAAGTAAGTAACTTTAGATGCTATCACTACTTTATATGATATGTTGAAAATCAAAATAGAAACTAATAATTTTTCTTAATCACTTGGGCAGGAATTGGACGATTATGGCGAGTGGAGGTGCTCACACACGCCAAAGTCAATAGCATCCTCGGTCTTCTATGCAAGGAGCACTTCCCTGGCCTAGTTGAGTACGCCGGAGTGACGGGGCCGGCCTACTCGTTTGACGACTACGCCGCCGCCCCCGATGCTACAGATCGGGCCCGCAGGGTATTCAACAACAAGGTAGAGCAGGTGAAGCAAGAGCTGTGGGTAAGTCTTCCTTGCACTACATTGCTTAATACATCGCATTCATTAGACATTCTTGAAATAATGAATGGATACATCGTGTTTGTATGCAGGATTTCTTTAGATGCCAGGACGGACATGAGGACAGGGCGGATGCGGTGGCTATCAAATGCTGCAAAAACTCGTCATGGACATGCATTACGAGGTGTGCATCCAGGCCATCGTAACTTACCACGGGACCGTCCTTGGAACGAAGGTCACCAAAAGGGACGCAAGAACCATGACGCTGACCCAGGACCAAGACCTGCAGGTAAATATAGAACATTAATACTGATTCCTTTTGAGATTAAGTAGGCTTAATTTCATCTTCTGATATATCATGTACTTGATGGCCCATAGATGATTCCTTATTGGTGCGCCGCGCATCCCTAGTGCTGGGTACAGATGGTGGACAAGTGCTCACGCGAGTGGGAGGAGACGCACAACTTGTGTTGGGAGCGGTGTTTGATGATGCCAGGTGTAGCACACCATCAAGGCAGCCACAGCCTCAGCAAATACGCAGAAACATGGGTACGCGAATTTATTTATTTATTCTAACGCTCAATTCTGCATGATTTCTAATCATCTTGTTGTTTTTCTCGCAGTCGGTGTCACATGGTGGCCAGGCTTGCTCCATCTTCAATGCATTTGCTATGGCCCACAAGGGCAAGGCGACATCCGACGTCGACTACAACCCGGAGGACGGGCCCGAGGCGTACATCAATGAGACCATCCACAACTACCTCAGTGAGTACACATCGATGTCAAAGGAGGTCCATGGGCCAGAGTATGATCCGAGCACCGAGGAGCTTGATGGAGAAGTCGTCATGAGGGTGGGAGGAGGCAAGAAGCATGGGCGGTACTAGATTGGCGACGACGCAATCGACTCACCGCTACTCCTAGTCTCTCCCAAATTCGGGCAAGCAGCACGAGCACGAGCCTGGCCATATGACCTCGGCAGGACACTTCACACCACCGGGTGGAGGCTCTCGAGGTTATTCCTGGTTTATTCGTCGTTCATTGGTTCTTTTATACATTTCCTTTGCTTTATTGTAACATTGGGGTGAATATATTGTAGGCCCAGCTGGAACAAGAGAGGAGGATACGGGAGCAGATGCATGCGAAGATGGAGAGAGTGGAGGCCGAGCGGGAGGCAGAGCAGCGGAGGATGGCGGAGATTCTTTAGTACATGCAAAGTCTTGGCACCACTACGGGTGTAGTTCCGCCACCTTCGCTATTCGCTCCACCTCCACCTCCACCTCCTCACTATTCTACTCCTGTGAGTATAAATGTTTTAGTTTGTATGTTCATGCTTACAGTCAAACCTAGTGGAGTATGAAAGTTTTATTCATGTATGGTATATATTTATCTTGTCTCACACATGCAATCTCTTCTCTTTTGTGCAGAATCAATCGGTGGCATCGAACAATCCTCATGCTTCAGCGAATCCTTCACCAATCAGTCTCATTGGCCATCTGGTTAAGATTCTTGTGGTTGTTAATGGTACTTCTATTTGCAATTGTGGTTGTAGATGATGGATCACTTGGATTACTTGTGAACTTATTTGTGATATATTGTGAGACATGTGACGTTTGTGATATATATGTGGCGTTTGTGATATATATGTTGTGTTGGTGATATATATGTGTTGTTGATGATATATATGTGATGTTGGTGATGTTTGTTATATATATCTTCTGTTTGTTTGGATGGGATGTAAAAAACAAATAAAAAGGTTGTTTTCAGTCACTTTGCCGAGTGCAATGGCCATGACACTCGGCAAAGTGACTACCTAGGAACATGTTTTGCCGAGTGCAAAGGCCATTGCACTCGACAAACATCACAGCTTTGCCGAGTGCAACGGGCCAGGCACTCGGCAAAGGTCTCTCGGCAAATAAGCTACCTTTGCCGAGTGTCTTGCCGGTGGCACTCGGCACAGTGGGCACCTTTGCCGAGTGTCTGAGTCAATGGCGCTCGGCAAAGCGGCGACCGTTGCCGAGTGCTTGACCTTGACACTCAGCAAAGCCACCATCACGATGACTTTTCTTTGCCGAGTGTCAGATTAGCACTCGGCAGAGGATTTGTCGAGTGCCCGACAAAGTGCACTCAGCACAGAGGTGTTTGCCGATAAACTATTTACTGAGCGCTCTTTGCCGAGTGTATATCAGCCTTTGCGGAGTGCCTAAGGCACTCGGCAAAGAAGCTGAGTCCGGTAGTGTAAACTCTTCTTTCTCCTTCCTTTGTTCGTGCAGATTAGAGCAGAGTCGGGCAAGCGTGTTGGCCCAGCATGGCAGTGGCGGCAGGGCGGGTGCATGTGGGCATGTGGCCGGTGGTGGGGTAGGACGAAGCTCGTGACTGGCACAGAGCTTACGGGGTCCTTGGATGTGTGGCGGATGAAGTGGAGCTGTGGGTCTATGGAATAATATATGTGTAAGTAACGAGGAGCAGAAGATGACGGATTGAGCGAGTCTCACCTCATGCTAGCCCGAACCCTGAAGTAGATTGGTTGCTGCCATCGTCTGCGCTAGACCAACTAGCTAGCGAAGGAGTTGGGCGGGGACAAACTGGGAGATGCTCAGACCGAGCGCAGCCACAGGGTCGAGAGGTGGAGGAGGAGGACCCAAGCAGGGAGTGGAGTAGGGGACGACTAGTGAAGAAGGTGGAGCTCATAGTCTGTGCAGAGCTCTTGACCTGGATGGATCGAGCTCGTGGCCGAGGCTCCCGGAGGGGGTGTGGCTGGGTGTAGATCCATGGTTTTGGTGGAGCAGATCCATGGTGAAGGTACTGGATGTAGAGGTGTTTGGCTAGAAAATTTGAATTTAGATCTGTTTTTGGTGAATCTGAAGCTGGTGGTGGGAGTTATCGAGTTGGGCTGAGAGTGTGCGGAGAGAAGGGGGCACTCGGTTGATGCTGAGCCGATTAGCTAGGCCAAGGCCCAAGGTGGCAAGGTGGACTTTGCCTGGACGCCTGTCGTCTGGTGGACTCGGGGATCAACATATGCTTGATGTTCGATTTGAATGGCTTCTCGGTTTGGTTTGAGTTAATAACCGAAGTTCGTAGTTACAAAAACCGAAACCAAACCAAGAAACCGAAAAAACGACACATCGTATCAGTTTTGGTTCGGTCAGTTCAATGACGGTTTTCGCGTCAAAATATGCCCACCCTATTTTGTAGCACCTTAGGCCCTTCTTTTCGACTTTCTGTTTTTCTAAATAGATGGAAAAAGAGAGATATCTACTAAAGGTTGTTTCAAGAGAGATAGAGAGAGAGTAGTAGGTTCCGTGGTTCTTTTAACCAAATAGCTTATAACTTTTTCACAGCACGTAACTCATAGCAGCTTTTACACAGCTCAACTCATAGCAGCTTTTACACAGCTCACGAAAACTTTTCTATAGCTCACATCTAAACAAAATAGACCTTAGAGCCAAGCAGACTGCTAATGTGCAACTTGATACTTCCTCGGTCCTAAAATAAATGTAATATATATCTACTGTGTAAACAAGTATTTATCTAGATACATCTCTTCTGGGAGGGAGAGTGTACACAATTATGATCTTAAGTAAAAAATAATAATTTCAACTCATTTTTTATTAAAAAAGCAACAATATTTATACAACTTGAAAGTTTAAAGCAATATAAACCCTAAGACCAAATATGAAAAATAGTCTGCAATATTAGTCTGCAACTATATCCAAGAAGCGGAATAGAGTAATCTGCTGCTACTAGACACCGTCGACCATGGGAGAGAGCCGCGGCAGCATCGCCTTTTTCGCCACGTACCGGCCGCCGGTGCCACTGGGCATCTTCTCCGTGCCCATCCCGCTGTCTTCGATCCGCGACGAGGTACACCTCACCGACGGCGTCTCCTACAACTACAACTGCCGCCCCATTCCCAAGGACGCGCTCAAGTCCCTGCTCAAGCGCCCCAAGCTCGCCGCCGAGGGCGGCGCCACCGACGCCGACATCGACAGCGACCGCGTCTCCGGCCTCCTCTTTGTCTCCGAGAGAGACGGCGGCCTCGAGACGCTCCAAGTGGCCCTGCGTTTCAAGGACGGCGGCAAGGCCTGCAAGGTGTTCTCCCTGGCCGACGTCTTCGGCGCCGCCGACTTCAGCATCGTGCGCCTCGAGGACAGCGGCTGCGTCGGCGGCGGCTACAAGATGGGCTCTCGCTCCGTCGACCACTCGATCATCTACGTCTCCACCAAGGAGGCGGTGCAAGAGCGGCGCAGCCCGTGGACCGTCGTGTACAAGACCAACCTTAGGACCGGCAAGACCGAGCGCCTGACTCCCAAAGGTCAATTTGATCTGAGCCCAGCCGTGTCGCCGTCGGGGAAGAAGGTGGCGATGGCGACGTTCCGACCGGAGGGCTGGCAAGGCGAGATCGAGGATCTGCAGACGGACATCTTCGTGATGAACGTGGAGAGGCCGCCGATGCGAAAACGGTTGATCAAGAACGGCGGGTGGCCGTCGTGGGCCAGCGAGGACGTTATCTTCTTCCACAGGAAGGTGGGTGAGACCTGGGGCGTGTTCCGCCACGACGTGAGGACGAACGAGACGGTGCGGGTGACGCCGGAGGACTTCGACGCGGTGACGCCGGCGGCCATCAGCGAGACCAAGGTGGCGGTGGCGACCATCCGGCAGAAGTCCAAGTTCAGCGACGTCCGCGTGGAGGCGCAGTACCGCCACATCAAGATCTTCGACACGGCGGCCTCGCCGAAGGCCGCCGGTGCAGATCACCCAGAAGACGAGGCCCAAGGCGGACCACTTCAACCCCTTCGTCCTGGACGACGGCGGCCGCGTCGGGTACCACCGCGCCAGGAGCGACCTCCTGAAGCACGGCGACGACGTGCCCCGCAACTTCCACAAGATGGAGTCTCCGGTGAAGGACGTGGGGCTGTTCCGGGTGTCCGGCGTGTTCCCGACCATCTCCAAGGACGGGTCAAAGCTGGCGTTCGTGGACAACGAGTTCAAGGCGGTGTGGGTCGCTGACAGCCAGGGCCTGCGCGTGGTGTACGAGACCAAGGGCCCCGACAACATCTTCTCGCCGATGTGGAACCAGAACCCCGACAAGGACATCCTGTACGTGTGCATGGGCCCCTCCTTCAACGCCGGCAAGCCGCTGGAGATCTGCGCCATCCCCAACGTGTCCAGTGGCGTGCGGCAGCGCCGGAAGCTCACCAAGGGCAACTTCAACAACGCGTTCCCGTCGAGCAGCCCCGACGGGAGCAGGTTCGTGTTCCGGTCCACCAGGCACGGCGGCGACAAGAAGCACAAGAACCTGTACATCGCGGAGGACGCGGAGGTCGGCGAGTACAGCGGCGGCACGGTGACACGGCTGACCAATGGGGATTGGACGGACACCCACTGCCAGTGGTCGCCGAGCGGGGACTGGATCGTCTTCTCGTCGACGCGGGACAAGCCGAAGGACGCGCCGGAGCTGGACAACGGCCTGGACCCGGGCTACTACGCAGTGTTCATGGTTAAGGCGAGCGACCCGACGGTGGTGATCCGGGTGATACGCAGCGGGGACGACCTCGGCGGCCACGTGAACCACCCGGTGTTCAGCCCGGACGGCCGGAGCATCGCCGTGACGGCCGACCTCGCCTCCGTGTCGGCCGACCCCATCTCGCTGCCGCTCTTCATCCACTCCGTGCGGCCCTACGGCGACATCTTCGTGGTGGACATCAACCCGGAGGACGCGAGCAAGAACAAGGATGTGAAGAAGTTCCACCGGGTCACGCACAGCCGGTACGAGTACTCGACGCCGGCGTGGACGGTGTTCGCGACGGACGACCCCAACGCGCAGTGGAACATGCTGGTGAAGAAGGACTCGTACACGCCGGCGTGCCCCTACGCGTACCCGGACGGCGGCGAGAGCTGGCACATGACCGGACACCTCTACATCCCCAGGAGGTGCTGCTGATCTTCTGTAATTGGAGTTCGATTGCATTCGTTCGTCGTCGTCAGTCGTCACGAGCAGCTGCCAGCTACCAGCTACTACCTTCTACAGGGCTCTATCTTACAAGGAAAGGGGAAGGTGGAATCCTAATTCCAGTTCATTTGTATGTAGGCTCTTATCAAACTCTTAGGCTTTGTTATGACTATATATATATATATATATATATATATATATATATATATATATATATATATATATATATATATATATATATGTGGGAGCTTTATATTGTAATCACGAATATTCAGAGAAATCAAGAATAGTCTCCTTATCTCTCGTATCTATGTGTTCTACTTTCATCTACTATGTTGATCATGAGAGACGGAGAGGGAAATGTCATAACCGCTGGCAACATGTTTTATAACACGTTATCAGCATGACAAGCTATTTGTCGACATCGCCGTTGAAGCCGTCGCCGATCTTTGATACTGGCGCTTGTACCATCGACATCCGCCGCGACTACTTCGACGACGTCGACATCTCCGACATTGTTAGTGAAACGGGGCTGCTGCCTCTGCAACTAATCTACGTTGCGTCGATATGCACCGTCGCCGTCAAGCAGACGGTTCTACGACAATACTAAACGCCCTACGCAGTATGTATCTGCTAATCACTACCCTACGCGGTATGTGAGGTAGATCAAATTGATATCCTTAATAAGGTATGAAAGAATCACATCTTGCAGATTGCATGGGTTCCAACCATCGGGCTATTTTCTTATTTGCATTTTTCTACATGAAGTAGATACAAGTACAAGAAGTACATGCATAAGTATATACAATTTTTGCATCTACATGAGTTGCATCTAGGGTCTAATTAAGAAGAAAAAAAAAACTGTAACATTATCTAGCTACTGGCTTGGACGCCTTAGAATCAAAGAGCAATGGCATGAACAAGCAGAAGCCATGCAAACGCCAGCCGTCCTGCAGGAAAGAAAAAGCAGCATCTCGTCAATGATCCGCCACCGTAGCTGTCCGGCCTGCATGCCCACGTTCCACGTATTGGCCTGCATGCCGCCACTGAGCACACTACGTAGAAAACGATCTGTAGCAACAGAATAAATTTTATATAGGGGTGGCTCGTGATGAAGTCGCTCCTACAGTGATGTGCTCGAAAGTTCAGAGACCAGTTGCCTCTACAAATAGAACAGCAGGGGTGGCTGGTGATACGAGCCGTCTCTACAAATGGATCTGATTTGTAAGAGCGGCTCACTCACCAGACGCCCCCGGTATTTTTATTTGTAGGGGCGGCTGGTAATTGAACCACCCCTACAAATGTCCCGCATATAATTACCTGTTATTTGTAGGAGCGGCTCAATCACCGGCCGCCCCTACAAATAACCCACATATAAAAAAACTACAACACCTTTTTCCTCCTCGGATCACTCACTCCAACCCGTGAAAGAAAGGTGGAGACATTGAGCACCTTCCAAAAATTGCTCTAGTAAGGGGTGAAGATTTTGGTCTCAGATCCTTTGATGGAGAGGTTGTAGAAGGTAAGAAAATACTATTCCACACTTTTTTTAACTTTTAATGGTTGGTTAGTGAGTAATTAGAGTCTTATTTTTCTCTCTCTTCTATGGTGCTTGAGCTACTTATGAAGCAAATTAAACTCAAGTTTTGAATGTACTAGGATAACTAGGATAAATTAGGTAGGGGAACAAGATCATACCCTTATTTGGTCCAAGTTTCTTGATTTTAGTGATTTATGGATGTTTCATGTGCATGTAAATCTAGATTTAGGGTTTGGTTTTTTTATTAATTTTGTTTTTGTAAATTTATGTTTGATGAAATTGGACTAGGGTTTGTATGAAAGATATTGGGTAAAATATAATTGTTGCTAATTGTTGTCTTTAAAATTGTTTTATTGTAATCAACAAATATGTATTTTAATTATTTATGGATAAATGAGCCATTAAATAATTTTCCTCTACCATAGTGTGTTTGTATGCTTCATGTAATTATATTTGATTTATATTCATATATATCTGAAGTATATACAATTATTCTCAAGTAATTATTAATTTGATTCATTTTTTATATATATCTGAATAAGTAGTCCTTTAATGTTTGTTTTGTTGTTGTTGTAAAAGATGGAGTACATGAACTCTTGGATGTATGGTTCATTAAGGTTCAAGGCAGGTTTCCGTGAAGAGGTGGATAAATTTATTGAAGCCGCAAAGAAGCATGCAACGACATTGACAGAGAATAAGGATACAATTATTTATCCTTGTAAAGATTGCAAGAACCGTATGGCATGGACAGATGTGACTATCATTAGATCACATTTGATTATGTGAGGATTTGTTGAGGACTACATAGTGTGGATTCATCATGGTGAAATGGTTATTGTTAACGACAAGGATAAGGAGGAATACGACAACGAAACCCTAGAATCCCTGTCCCAATATTCAGTAGAGCTTGATGCACGAATGGATTCCGAGTTTGGCAATGAACAAGGTGGTAATGCTGGTGGTTGGGATGGTAATGACGAAGGTGGTGCCAATAATGATGGTGGAGCACGTTTCGGGGATGAAGATGATTTGAAGGACATGATTCGAGCCCTTGGACCAGAGATTTTACTAAATAGCCCAAAAGGTGTAGAAAATTTGAAAAGGGTGACAAAAGCATCGACGGAGACTATGTATGGTGTTGAAAAGGGTTGTCCGACATATTAGACATTGCTACATTTTGTGTTTGAGCTGCTCATCATGAAGGCTAAGTACGGCTGGTCAGACTATAGTTTCAATGATCTATTGCATCTCCTGTCGTGGGTGCTGCCACAACCAAACTCAGTTCTCGCCAACACATACCAAGCGAAGAAGGTCATAAGTCCATTGACAATGGAGGTTGAAAAAATCCATGCATGCCCCAACCACTGTATACTTTTTCGTGGTGAAATGTTCAAGTCACTGGATAAATGTCCCCGGTGTGGGGCCAGCCGGTACAAGAGCAATGACCTTTACGGTGGGGACAAAGCCTCCACGGGGAAAAAGAGAAATAAGAAGGGTACAAAAAAGGTGGTACAAGAATCTCAGCCCTCAGAGGACACTTTATTAGGCAACGATGCAAAGCAGAAAAGAATTCCTGCATTGGTAATGTGGTACCTGCTAGTGACTGACCACTTGAGATGTATCTTCCTAAACCCTAAAGAAGCCGCACTCATGACATGGTGGGATGATGAGCGCAAGGTGGATGATGATAAGATTGCACACCCGGCTGATAGTAGTCAGTGGCAAAGGTTCGATGAGAAGCACAAAGAAATCAGCGATGACCCAAGGAATGTACGATTTGGCTTGAGCACCGATGGAATGAATCCCTTCAATGGGAGGATGAGCGACCACAACACTTGGCTAGTGATCTTGATCATGTACAACATCCTAACGTGGTTGTGTTAGAAGAGAAAGTACCTTCTCCTCACTATTCTTATTTTAGGCCCTAAACAACCAGGCATTGATATAGACGTGTTCCTCGAGCCTTTGATGCAAGAAATGGAGAGGCTATGGAGGCATGGAGAGCCGATGTACGATGCGTTTCGAAAGGAGGACTTCATATGTAGAGCAATAGTATTTGTTACTACCAGTGATTATCCCGCACTGTTTGCTTTGTCTGGACAGATCAAAGGGAAGACAGGATGCTTGGTTTGCTTGGATGGTACTACATGGGTGTACCTAGATGCATCCAAGAAGATAGTTTACCTAAGGAATCGATGCTTCTTAAAGACAAGTCACAAGTACCGCAGTAAATTGCTCTTTAGATTTTATGACAACACCCCAGAGATTGAACCCCCTTCGGAGAGACATCATAACGGAGAACACATGTACAGAAGGGTGAAAAACATACGTGTCGTCTATGGAAAGAAGAATCCGAATGGGACGAACAGAGATAGAAGCACACCTCCTATCGAAGGCGTACCTTTCAAGAAACAATCGATCTTCTTTCAGTATCTACCTTATTAGCCAGACTTGGAGGTCCCCCATGCCATTGATGTTATGCATGTGTAGAAAAATATCTTTGAGAGTCTCATTGCTACCTTGATGGACATAGGCAAGACAAAGGATGGTCTAAAAGCACAGAAAGACATGGTGCAACTAAACGTGATGCCATAGCTTCATCCAGTACCTGAGGCTAATGGAAAATACACTCTGCCCGCAGCGTGCTTCAACCTAACACCAGACAAAAAGAGAGCTAGATGCACTTTCCTAAGGGGGGTCAAAGTCTCGACTGGGTTTTCAGCAAATGTGAAGAAGCTAGTGTCAATGAAGGACTTGTCAATAACACACTACAAGGCTCACGATTGTCATGTGATGCTGACAGTGTTTCTACCTATTGCAATCAGGGCTATAAAGCCAGAGTTCTTGAAAATGGCCATCACCTGCATGTGATACTTCTTTTCGAAGATCTTACAGAAGACGATTGGCAAACAAGAGCTGAGTGACCTACATAAATTTGTGGTGGAGACATAAAACTAACTAGAGATGTGTTTACCTCCTACTTTTTTTGATATAATGCCACATCTCATGATTCACATGGTTCATTAGATACAGGCGCTGGGCCCTTGCTACTTGCATGAAATGTGGTCCTACGAGCGGTTCATGTCGGTTCTAAGTCGATACGTGCATAATCGAGCATACCCAGAGGGCTCCATGATAGAGGGTTACAGTATTGAAGAAGTCGTTGAGTACTATCAAGAATACCTAAAAGTACAGAAAGGGATTGGTAAACCCGATTCTCATCACAAGGGTAGGCTGGTTGGGAAGGGCACCAGTGGTAGAAAAGTATTCATCGACCATGATTACAAAGAGGTGAGTCGAGCGCATTACAGTGTCTTGCAGAGTACATAACTGATGCAACCGTACATTAATGAACACTTGGCTATCATTATGGCGGAGAGAAATGGTCATTCGGATGATTGGGTCATGAAACAGCATAAGCAACGACTAACTACATGGTTGAAGGACCAAA